AATATATTTAGTAAAACTGATGGCAATTTGACAGTCAGTGCTTAGGTAATGTGTCAATTATTTAATTGTTGCTCATGTGCATATGAGGAATTGCTTTACAACGCATTTTGCAGACTTTCGAAACAGGTCTGCATCACTTATATTATAAATGCTTATTAAAAGTATGAGTCCTGCATTAGCGACGATTCTGTGAATGTGCAATAGGAAACCTACCACTTCTGGCAGCGACTGCTTACACGCCGGATTTCTTGTTCCTAAGTTGTCCGATTGGCTCCGAGGGTGCGAGGTGAACCGCATCGCTACAGGTTGATTTCCGCCGGAGCAAGAAGATTCTCCGCCGCTCTTAAAAATAATTCCGGCTGCGTATAGATGACAAAAATTGGGTAAATGGCTAGATAAAAAAAACGAAATTGAGATAAAATTGAGTCAAACCGTACAAAAACCTGGGAGTTTCAGAAACACTGGAAAGAGAAAATAACTGTATGCGCAGTGCTTTGGTCGAAAAGTGAATTTTTGCGAAACAGTACAGTTAGATTTCTGCTATTAAAAAATGCAACTGCAGAGAGGCAGATTTGGTCATGTGAGGGTTATTCTTTGATCTGTTTAAATAAGGATGTCTGCTGTAATGTTTCAGCTGGCGCCTCTAGAATCTTAATTCCCTTAAATATTATACTATAGCTTTGTTTCATATTATAGTTCGTGATTCGAACCTGGGACAAAAGTGGAGCAACCAACGTCACTTTTATGTCTCAGACAGTCGCGCTGAATAAAGTGGTAGAGTTGTTTTCTTCATGTTGCCTAGTCATTTGCGTACTGCTCTAGATCCTTGATTTGTGTATTGGAAATCACAACCTATACTTACGCCGAAGGCAACCTGACTCGCTTGAGGTGCAGGAAATGAAAGCACAGTCTAAAGAAGAGAAGCTTAGACGTCAGGTGAAAGAATCTATTCAGATTGTTGCCGGTGATAAATGCAGTGAGTTATTTTGGTGAATAATTCTGTTTCTCAACTTTTACAGAGACTTATAGCTCTTTGAGGCACTGATCAGTTTTAACCAAGTAGTGCCATGGTGTTGAATACACAAGCGGATGTGGTTCCCGTATGGTTGCTGACTTTTATTGAGGCTGTATGACCGATTAACCTTTCAAAGAGTGGAATAATGGCGATTCGTGAAACACACTGACACACTTTTGAATAATAATAGATCGCGTTAGTACTTTGGAATAATTTCCCTCCCCAGCCTGCTAATTTTATAACCTGTAGAAAGGCAGCTGCAAGCATGGAATATTGTAATAGGTTTATATGAGATTGAAAGCACAGTTGAACTCTGTTTTTTTCAGTTCGCATCACATAATTGACGTTTTTTCCTGTTCTGTATTTACTTGGTGAGTTATTACTCTATTTCGTCGCACGTCTTCCGCCATATTGTTTTGACTGTTCGCCATTGAAAGTTTTTCATTCCTTTGCCTGCTTGTGTTCTTGAGACAGATTTTTATTTCTTCTGGTTAAACTAAAATGATTCTGTAGTCAGTCAATTTCAGTAGCCTCATATGCTGTCGAGTCATGAAGACAGTGTCTCTTCTCTCGCTCCTGTTCATGCGTCATTGTCTGTGCTTTGGCCCAAGATATACCAAGTCTGGAGCACAGTCGCTGCTGATACTTTCCCCACTCCATTTTTAGCGGCTTCAGGTTTTTTGACCGGGCAGTCAAGCAAGTAGTAGTTGCTTCATCTTCCTTTTCGAAATGATTCTCGGAACCTATATTTTGACCCTCTCATTTGTGACTTCTCAATATGCTGAAGCAACGGGTTTTACATTCAGGCTTTCTCGGATATTTTGACTCTGGTCTCTGTCAATACCCGTGAGCGTAGCGGTTCCTCTCAGAATGCCTAACAGTCATCCATGCTTGGACTTTCATTTTTCGATCGTGGCCCACAACTCATGACGGTAAGCATCAGATGAATATCGGCTTAAACACAGAAAGCCTCGTCCTCAGACTCACCTCTGCATTAGTCCTTGTGGTTCAGGATAGATCATACAGAACGCCGTTAGCAATAATGATTCGTCGGTTGCTCACTTCCTCCCATTTTACATCACTAACAAACTCGAGGTATGTGAACTTCTGTTGTTCCACGGCTCCTTTTTTCTTCACAGCATAGCGTGCACAGGTTCGAAACACTAGAATATTGATTTTGAACACGTTCATATGCATGCCGACCACGTCACATCAGCTGCGAACATTCTCAGAGAGCGCTGGAGATCAGTTTTTGAGGATGGCAGCAAAACAACGTCATTTGCAATCATCGAACTTTTCATCTCGACATATCTTACTTTGATAAAATGATCACCCTCTGTGTTTGAATATTTTATCCATGTACAACGCAGGCATGAGAGGGGACAGAACACAATTTTGGTGAAGACCAGTGCCGACCTTGAAGGGTATCCACATAATGCCTTTTACTCTGACGCAGCACCTGCTGTCAGCATATAGTGATTGTATGGCGCACTTACAGCTTAGTTCGCAATGACTGGTCACAAGATCTCCAGATTTACAAAGCACATCTAAACCGGACGAGAGAATTCCTACGATTTCTCAACAGTATGGCATAGCGAGAAGATCTGGCTTGAGCAAAAAGCACACTTTAGTTTTGGACCTTGGAGTCACTAATTTTTCAGCAACCTCTTTTTAACACGACTGCTTGGAGTTTTGTTTCGACTTCTCAGCTAGGTAATACCATGAGAATCTGTTCATTCACTGTGATGTCTCTTCTTGAACTGAGACACTAATGTTCTCTAGCCTGTTGGTGCCTTCCTTGTGCCCACTGCAGTTTGATAGACTCATGGTGGCCAGAATGTACCTTGTTTGCTCATTGTTTTAGGCATTTCATGGCGAATTTCATCGAT